TTTACATCCTTAGCTCATGGTTATTCAATTTAAAGGTCTAAGCTTCAGTGGGTACAATATAGTATCTTTTTTAAGACTTGCTGTTATATCTAATTTATCTTTAGTATTTTTTGTGTATTCTCATATATTCCATCGATGTATATTAAGTTATAGACTCCAGCTAAACAGGGGAACACTATAATTTTTGGTTGGAAGGCCAAGCACCATGCAAATTTGGTCACCCAAAAGGCACTCAAATTTTTAAAGAGCATGTCACAAGGAGGAAACATTTTAAAGTTTGAGAAATATAAGGGATTTTAGGACTTTAAAGGCCAAATGAAAATCTGGTCAAGTTAAATAAATGGGATGCAAGTCTTAGAGAGATCAAATCGGATATGGTTGATTACCACCTTAGGGAAGAAGAAATACTTATTGACTTTCAGTTTTTTAAGTTGGGTTTATGTTTGCCTGATAGAGTGTAGTTTGAGACTTTGCTCATTAAGTGTACTGGAAACGCTTGTAGATATTGCGAAGGGAAGCGGGTGCAATGGAGATATATTTTCATTTTTTACACTAAACATATTGGCATTTTTTTAATTTGGGGTGGGCCCGGGCCTAGCCTGGGCACCTCCTAGCTCCGCCCCTGTCAGTTGTTCCAACTTCTCCTATGGCTGCAAATGCTGAAGTTTCATCCACAACTCCTGTGTCTTCAAATGCTGAAGTTTGGTGACTTTGGTCTACAACTATTGAAATGGATGAAAGTTTATATTGGACCTATCAATTCTCTAATTAGGGAAGTTCTTCTGGAGCATATATGGAGCATATATGATTTAAACGGTTCTCATCGATGAGTAGGTACATATCTTACTATTTCCCTATTAATGAGGAGACAAAAGAACTTTGAGTGGATTTTAGTATTATTAAAATTTGGGTTAAAAATACTAAAATTAGACATTCTTATTAACATACAATCGCTGATTTTAGTAAAGAATGGGACATTAGTTATTTGGGTGTTATTTTAGATATATGAATTCAGAAACTCGCCCAAGAAGCTTTATAAAGACTTATATGCTATTGCTTCTGCCTTCTGCATTAGATTGTAAGGGATAGTTGCTAGGTGAAAGACTTTCCGGGAAATGATCCATTAACTACTTTTTAGTTTAAACGACCTAAAAGACAATTTAGCATTGAGCTAATAACAATGATGACAAGACGATAAAAGGTGCACTTTTTGTTTAATTTGTTGTTTTTTTTGCTAAGATTTCCAAAAACCAAAATGATTAGATCAAAAGAGAAAAATGAACTTTTTTTCTCTTCTTTAAATCTGAGTTTTTCCCCCTATTCTTAAGAAAAAGTGCACCTCTCTAATATTTCGAACTGAATTACTTTGCCCTGTAATTCTCCTGTTGGGATAAAATTTAAAAATGGACCATTGAGTATATGGCCGGGACTCCGGGAGAGATTTTAGTTATTTGTTTTCTTAGACTATAAGATTTTAAAACATAATACACAATGAAGTCTACCTATTATTGGCATCTAAGTGAATCTTAGGTGAGCCAATCACGAAACTAACCCGGTAGTGTGGAACCTAATAAAGAGGGCATAATGTCATTAGGCTTGGTTTGTCTACGTCTAAATGGGTTTGGTAAAGATCTGTTTTATGTGTACTCTACAATTGTCTAAAGCTTTTTTTACTTGGATCTAAATATTTTGGTCTGTGGTCTGGTTTATTTAAGTTTAGTTTAGTCTAATCTGAATTGGTCTGATCTGGTCTCTATATATTTTACAACTGTCGAAGTTTGGCTGGTCAGTTGATGTCTGGTCTGGTACTGATATAAGTTCAAGTAAAACATCCTAAGTTTAATCTATAAATTTATTAATTAATTTAGCTTTTAATTCATAAAAATAGTACGTTCTTTGTGATTTTTTATATTTCATGTTAGGGTGTTCTAAATTGAATTGAAATTACATGGTTTGGTCTGTTTACGTTTGATCTGACCTGTTACATCTATAGTAGATATTGAGTAGTATATCTCATTTTATCTCATGAGTTGGAGATGCAACAAACTTAGAAGGAATAGTAACACTGGAACCTACGCTTTCTATGATCAGCTTGATTAACTATAATGTGGTTTTGAAAAAACAATCTAATGTGCGTATTTACCTTATTCCAATTTTGAGTATGCCAGAAATTTTAAAGTTTAGATGATACATTTGTATTATTTCAGTTTTACTTTTACCGGACAATTGTGAATTTTGAAGTCGGTTTTCGTATGATGCATTTATAGAATTATAGGTTCTCCAATAGATATAATCTTAATTATATCATGACATTAAATAAAGGTTGCTCTATAGTATGTATTGCTTCTTGCTAATCCAAGTTAGTTTTTTATTTCTAGAAAATTGCACAATGTTGATTGAACCATTTGGGGTGGTACAACTTGAAGTCTTGAATCTATAGAGAAGCTAAGGTTAATTATCATCTACAAGTTTATTCATATGCCGCTTTACTTGATCATTCAATTCACTAACATATCAATTGCTCTTTTTCTTTACACCTCACACAGTTTCCAGAGAGGATGAAATTTATCACCGAAACCAAGAAAACTTTCCTATGAGATATAGAATCAAATTTTCCTAAAATCTCACCTTCATCAAATATATTTATGATAGATGTAAACTTTTACAAATAATATGTTACTATAATTTTATTTTGTTGTTTTAAATTTAAATCTTTATTAGGTTCTTTTATAATGCCTTCATATTTGAAAATTTCAAATGCACAAGTTCCCAGGACTCGGTGAAGATGGGTAACCGGAACTCCAATGGTTAGCTCACTTTTAATACATATTGATTTTTTGTTAGCCCGTAATCTTGAGTACACATTTAAATAGAACTCATAATTTAGTTGGTAGTGCGTATCATACTTGCAAAGAGTAAAATATATGAATTTCAGATTATCAGGGAAAATGGACGACTTCATGGATAATTTCGTAATTTGTAATCCCGTGCAACGCACGGGTAAAAGACTAGTACTCAATTATTTACCTTAGTTGCACGGGTAAAAGACTAGTACTCAATTATTTACCTTCAACTTTGGGTGTTTCTAATAAGGAAAATTTTGTCGGACTAGAATATGCATTTTGGCACAACTCCCACATCACTTTTAATTAGATTCTGTTATTATTAAAATTAAAATAGAGTTTGGAATCTTTGGGCGTTGCACGCTAGCTCTCAACATAGGATATATCATTCTTCTACACCTAAACCCATATGTACTATGTATTTGCATGCCATACAACTATCTAAAGAACGTCTTTCATTCTTCTTTATCGGACGAAATACTCCATCACCGTAAACCATTGAAAGGTGTGATTTATCAATTTTTTATTCAATCTCTTTAATTATGAAATTAAATAATTAAAATAAATATTTTCCGATCTCACTCATATTTATGTCGACAATTTTGATGGTTAACGTAGAAGCTTCAGAGCACAACGAGAGATACACATGGACAACAATAGCGTACTACCTGCAGATGAAGATATTCTCAACATTCCGTCAACGAATATACAAAATACTAAAGGTTTTTTATCTTCATTATGATTTGATTAATGTGTTAACATACTATTTATTTTTTGTATAGTATTTGTTACGTATATCACAAAAAAAATCTCCTTCTAATCTTTTTGTATGTTACAACGTTGAGATTATTTCAAATAAAACTTGTATGTGTTTTAATCTCAAATAAAAACTACACTTTAGGCCAATAATTGTTGTCAGAACTTATTTATAATTGTTGAAATAATTTCCAGATCCAAAATAGTCCAATTTAAAACAAACTTAATTTCATAGACTAATTCAAGATTTGATTTAATATTAATTTTTTTCAGATCTTTATTTTGTGGAAACGCCTAAATTAGGCCAATAATTTCATTCACTAGATGATGCTCATCCTTTCTATAATGCATATGCAAAGCTGCTTCCGCCAGCTTGGGCTCAGTACTAAAATAAAAAATTCAGCTATTAATAAAGCTGGAGTTATAACATGGAGAGCATTTACATGCTCTAAAGAAGGTTGAACAAATGTGTCTTCGAGGAGGAAAAATCAAATTTCCTTTGAAAGGAATAGGGGCTAAACTAGGTGTGGGTGTCTTGCTAAGGTGCATGTTTCAAGAGATCGACAAAGCGGTTTGTGGACTGTGTCACAATTCGAAAAGATACATAATCATGACCTTGTTACTCCTAGTAAGATTCATTTGCTTCGTTCTCATCGAGAAATGTCATCTTTTAAGAGAGTATTGATGAATGAGTGGAGAGAAGCAAATATTGAGACACATACCCAAATTTGGCTGTTGAAGAACGAAGTTGGAGGCCTAGCTATGATGGGGTGCACAGAGACTAATATATATAATTACCATGCCTCATTGAAATCCAAATTTAATGGGATCGATGTGAAAACAATCATTCTTGAATTTCAAATGGAAAAACATAGGAATTGTGACTTTTTCTACAAGTTTGAGATTGATGGTGAAACGGTTGATACTAGATGCTTCTGGGCTGATAGTGATAGTAGGAATGCATACTCATTTTTCAACGAAGTGGTTGTATTTGATACAACATTCAATACGAACAAGTATGTATTTTATCTTGCTCCGATCGTTGGTGTTAATAATCATCGTCAAACTATTGTTTTCGGATGTGGTTTGCTAAGTGATCAATCGACGAAGTCATTTTCTTGGCTTCTATCAAAGTTTTTAAAAGCTATGAATCCTAGACCCCATCCAAACATAATAATAACTGACCAAGATGCAGCTATAACTCGAGCAGTGACTGATGTATTACCATATGTATCACATCATCATTGTTTATGGCATATACTTAAAAAATTCCCTGAAAAGATGAATGTCTCTAGCTCAGCATATAGATTTAGTTGATATTATTATGAGTTCATAGAGCACAAGTGATTTTGAGCAACGGTGGACTGAGAAACTTTTGTTGCCAGAGTTGAATGAAAATAGCTGGCTTGCTGATATTTATGAAATACGTACTAAATGGGTTCCTTGTTTTGTGAAACACATATTTTGTGCTGGAATGTTAAATAGTCAACGTGTCGAAAGCACACGTGTTTTTTTTTTAAAAGTATGTTAACAAGAAGTGCACTGTGAGCCGGTGTGTGACACGTATTACTCAGGCTATTGTAAGACAGAGGCACAGAGAGCTTGCTGCTGATCATCGCGACCGAAATGAAGTTCCACATGTGAAATCAAGTTATTTAATGGAACGACAAATGGGTGGAATATACACAAGGGTAATTTTTCGTAAGTTCCAGAAACAATATGACGAGTGTGCTCTTTACACTTGCCACCTGGTTTCTAGCTCTGTTGAAACTAAGATCTCTGATGTTAGAAGATGTGATATGGATTTGACTTATATCTCTACGACACACAAGCTTACATACGACATATCCTCAAATTTTGTTTCTTGCAGGTGTAAAAAATTTGAATTTATGGGAATTACTTGCCGCCATATTCTCATATGGATGAGGCTCAAGCAGGTGTTGTTACTGCCAGAGAAATATATTCTTCATCGTTGGACAAAGAAAGCAAAGATAAACCCTATTTATCAGCCTGCAACTAATTCATTTGTTGGTAAGAAATTATGGACAAGGCGGGTCAAGCTAAGGTTGTCTGCTTTCGAAGTTGTTGACATGGCATCCTTAACTGAAGAACGAAGTAACTACTTCGCAGGTGTCTTAAAGGGTGCTATACTACTATGGATCACCATGTTTGGGATGGGGGTTTATGACTCTCCCATTCATGTTTGGGAATTTATAAAATTGGAGGGGGTGGTTTTGGAGGGTTTTCGTGACCCTCCAAACCCCTCTAAATGCTCAATTTTTGAAATTCTACGATTTGGAGGGTTTTGAAGAATAATGGATGAAATGGTAACTTAAGCTCAATTAAAAACAAATATCAGTTCAATTATTTGAATTCGTCATATTTCAAAGTGATTTTAATTGTAATTCATTCAAAAACTACGTTTTTTCAAATTCATTACTCCCAAATACAACGAAAGGCTTTCTCACCCTCCAACAACATACCTCCAAAATTTTTCTCTCCCCTTGCCTTTAAATTTCCAAACATACCCTTAAGTAACAGAAAAGTAAATTATCACATGCAAATCATAAATCATTTTAAAAAACTACAGTAACAAAAGCACTCAATTTTCGATTCTCCTCTGGAAGATTGTGCCTAAGGGTATTTTTGGGAGTTGGTTTTTGGAGGGGAGGGGAAGGCATGTGAGGGAAATAAACCCTCTTATTTGTGTTTGAGAGTTGAAATAATATGAGGAAAAGGTTTTGGGGTTGTTATAAAATCCTTCTAAACCCTCCAAAACCTGATTTTCTAATTCCCCGATTTGAGGGTTTTATAAAATCTAGCTACGAGCAAATGAGAGATTTATCCTCTTAAACTAAAACCGCTTCCGCATAAAATCTTTATGAGCTACTACTCACTTCATTTCTCCGCCGTTGAAACCCCTCAAGTCACCAAACCCTCCTCTTTTGAAATTTGCAACTCCTAAACAAGATGAGGGAATCCCATTCCCATCTCCCTCCTCTTCCCTTCTCTCTGCTCCCCTTCAATGCCTTCCCCTTCCCTCACCCTCAAACTCCCAAACACACCCTAAGGGGAATTTGTTCTCAATAAAGATGGCTCCAATATGACCTAGCTGCATAGCCATCCGAGTTCTCTACAGAGAACCAGAAAGCAATGAGTAAACTTCTGGCGACTAGGGTGCGTAATTATTTTAGTCTCTTTGAAAAATGGAACAGTGCTTAACCGCTAATATCGCTGTCAAAATACTACCTTAAGGCCTTTAAAAATTACGCTAAATTGAAAATTGAACACTAGAAGAACACACCATTATTATTTCAATTAGTTTGAAAAATGAGAAATAGTATATAAAAATACTATATAAATTGAACACCGTGTAACTAAAACCAAGAAAAATAAAACCGTAAATAGAAAATATAAAAAAACCTTTAAAGAGACCATAGACAAACTCAATAAGAGATAAGCTTTAAATAAAAGCTTCGACTAAGGATGTGTTCGTTAAGCCATTTAAGCTAATAATGAGCTGAAATTTGTTAATTTCAGCCAATTATTTTATTGATGACACTGTTTGGATTAAAGTCTTAAGTGAGCTTGAGCTGGAAATGATGAACTGAATTAGAAAGAAACGTTTCAATTGTTTAATTCCCGTAACAGCCTTGCCGCACTCCTACGTTAATTAACTTGCTCCACCACGACCTCTCAGGAATCAGGACACCCATGTGTAATGTGTTATTGGCCGATGAAGGTAATAATTATCCACAATCAATTTATTTCAATTTCCTCCTACAAATTACACCAATTACACGCATGATCCAGTGGTGTAGTCATATTTTATAGAATAATCTTAGTGCATTAGTGCCTGGAAAATGAGTTTTATCTTAAAATAACATTTTCTTCAATAAAAGTACGGAGTATGTACCTTATATATGCAACATTGCAACATTTCAGTTTTAGCAATTCAAAATTCAGTCCAAAAATAAAAAAATAATTATAATAAATATTTTGTTTTATTAATAAATCATATGCCCTTTAATGTAATTTCATATTATCCAGATACTTTTTCAGCTCTTTTTTCCAAACGGGTTTACTACATTCAGCTAGCAATTCAGGTCCAACACCTCAAAGTTCAGCTTAAGGCAATAGTCTCTGATTCAGACAATAGTCCTTAATTCAGACATTAGCCTTCAGCTTCAGCTCGTTGTGCCAAACATAACCTAAATAAAAATAAGCTTCAAATAAGCACTTGAAAAGATTAAGGCCTATTTACGAACAGAGATATTTTCCAGATTTTTGGAAAACTGGAAAACAGGAAAAAAACAGAAAACGTGTTTATCAAAGAGAATTACTGGAAAAATAGAGAAAAGAAAACAGAAAACTGTGTTTATCAAATTGTTTTCAAAAACGAAAAAAATGAGATATGTCTCGCTTTTCCTTGATGAATTGGAGAAGTGACTTTTACTACTTTTCCAAATTTGGAAAACGTATATGCTGCACTGCCGCTGCAATGAATTTGCATACTTACGCCTATTGGTGCATCCGGTCCCGCTTCGGTGTCACTGTGTCAGTTCCAGTTCGGTCAACGACCCTAAAGTCCCTATCTGGTCCGGTCCACGACTAAGCGGTCCTGGGTCAATCCCGTCAACAACCCGACGATCCCTGTCTAGGCCGGTCAATGACTCGGCGGTTCAGTCTCGTTTATTTCAAATCACTTTTTAAAGTCAAGAGTTCTAAAATAGCTGTTGAGTTGTCAACCAATAGGAAAATGAGAAAAAAAATCGTCAAACTAACCGTTGAGATCAACTGGGCCGGCTGGTTTTGGTCCCGACTTTCCTATACGTGGGACCTGGTACCCTACTTGGGTACATGGTACTAGGTTTAATTTGGTTTCGGAATGGGACCGTACTTTCAGTCTTTTGAAATCGGGTGAAAAAACTTGATGAGCATGTTTTTAGATTTGAAAATGGGAAAACTAACAAATCCAAACATAAAATTGAAAATAGAAAAATTAGAAAATGAAAACATAAATGGGAGAACGGAAAACAGAAATTGAAAACTGGAAAATATCTTTGTTAGTAAAGAGACTCTTTGCTTTCACCTTTTTCCCATCTGTTAAACTTTTGCTATATATTACTTTCTTGATCTAAAACTCACCGGTCACCAAGAAGACTGAACAGTCTGACATGTGTCTCATATAGTTATAAGCCCAGCCTCATAAAAGCGCAGATTCCAAACTGGGCAAAAATTTCAGATTTGTTTTATAATTCTGTTTCATTTATCCTCCAAATTGTTTTCCACCGCCATAGTCACTCTATATTTCCAATTTTGAGTCATTATATACCAAGAGGACGAAAGCGAATTTGTATGACTAGAGTCTAGACATGACCATCAAGCACTATAATTTGTATTTTAATTTTTGGACCGGTGGGCGTAGCTCAACTCGTAGCAAGGGAATGCCACAAGGGTTACGTTCCGCATTCGAATCCCGCCAACTGTGATGAAAAGTTACTATGCTAAAAATGCATAGGGCATCTGCAAGTACCAGGGACAGAGGCTCACTCTCTATCTGTCAGATTGTGATTATAGTCCAATTTACATCCTTCCAACGTACCGTCCGGTCGGGGTTGGGGACCCTTAGGGATGAGGTGTCAATCCATTTTTGTATTTTAATTTTTGGTGTGATAAAAAAGCACTTCGGGTATGCATATATGGTGGCAAACCAGGCCCCGGGAATCTATTTGTAAATGATAGAAAATCACGTAACTAGGGGTGGATTCGGTTCGGGCCACCCGGCCCGTGACCCGGCCCGGCCCGCTACTATGCGGACCCGGGACCGGCCCGGTCTGGCGGTCCGGGACGGGGTGTAGACCCGAACCGGTGGGGATGGGCGGGGCGGGCTCGGTTCCGGAAATATTTGACCCGGCCCGGTCGGGTCGGGCCCGGGTCCGGGTCCAACGGTCATTTTAATTTTTTTTTTGGGCCAAAATAGCTGTTGGGGGTGGGCTGGGGACAACCCAAACGGCTATATAGCCGTTGGGTAGGGTGCATGGGGATCCGGGAGGGGTGGGGGGTGGGGGTGGGGGTGGGGGTAAAAAAACCTATAAATACTCCTAATCTTAAACATTTTTTCATATCTCTTCTCCAATTCTTCCTAAATCCTATTCTTAACTCTCTACTCTCTAATTCTCTAATTCTCCAATATATTATATTTATTATTCATATATCTACTTTATATTAATTATCTACTTATAATTTATAAATACATACATTATAATATTATATTACTTATATTTGTTATCTAATTATATATTACTTATACATTTATTATATCTATTAATATAGTTGGAATTATATCTAATTAATTTGAAGTCATTCTATTACTCCCATCCGAAAGACCGAAAGTCCGAAAGAGGTACGAAATCATTCTATTATTTACACTTGTTTAATTTTGTATTAACGTTACTTGAAAAAAAAACTAGAATTAATTTGATTAAAGTAAACTTTAAAATACTAATTTGCTATAACTCGAATTAATAGTTAGATTAATAGTTAATTACTTTATTACAATTTTTTATTAATTGCTACATTTGACTCTAGTTTAAAAAACTAGTTAATTCTCATTATAGTTAAAGTTAAAGTATATTAATTTCATTGTTAGTAAAAAAATAGATTGTACACAAAACTAGTTAATTCACTAGTTAATTTGATTAAAGTAAACTTTAAAATACTAATTTGCTATAACTCGAATTAATAGTTAGATTAATAGTTAATTACTTTATTACAATTTTTTATTAATTGCTACATTTGACTCTAGTTTAAAAAACTAGTTAATTCTCATTATAGTTAAAGTTAAAGTATACTAATTTCATTGTTAGTAAAAAAAATAGGTTGTACACAAAACTAGTTAATTCACTAGTTAATTTGATTAAAGTAAACTTTAATATACTAATTTTCTATAACTCGAATTAATAGTTAGATTAATAGTTAATTACTTTATTACAATTTTTTATTAATTGCTACATTTGACTCTAGTTTAAAAAACTAGTTAATTCTCATTATAGTTAAAGTTAAAGTATATTAATTTCATTGTTAGTAAAAAAAATAGGTTGTACACAAAACTAGTTAATTCACTAGTTAATTTGATTAAAGTAAACTTTAAAATACTAATTTGTTATAACTCCAATTTTTTTATTAATTTTTCTTTTTTAATATATTTGTTGCAATTTAATATTTG